GATACCACTCCATTGAAAAATATGAATAACTTTAGATGAACGAATGTGATATATACTCTTCTGGATAACAAATCGAAGTCCTGCATTAATGTTTGGCAGACTTGTCTATCGGAAAAGCTAGAGTGTCTGAGAAGAACAAACTTGATTTCATCGTTATCCCATTCATAACTCTTTCCAAGTACTTTTCATGGAGGAGGATGAAGGCGTGTCGAGCACCAGATCAATTAATTTATTGTCCTGAGCTTTCGAACTCTTACAGGAGTCCATCTTCAGAGATGAGAAAGCAACCTAAAGAGGGTAATTATAGTGATCATAGGCCAATCAACTGTCAGAAATCAAGTTGTCAAAGGTTAGAAACAACAATCGAAAAAGGATGGGGAAGGGGGTCAATTAGCTATCAGTGGAGTCGGGGGTAATTATAGTGGTGTACTCTAATTAGCTATTGGGGTCAGTTATTTGCCCTCCTCCTCCATCCTTTTTCGATTGCTGTTTTTAATCCCTTGAAAACCTGGTGATTTCTGCGTTGATTGGCCTATGACCACTATAATTACCATCTTTTTGGTTGCTTTCTCATCTCTCAAGATGCACTCCTGTAGGAGTTCGAAAGCTCAGAACAATAAATCAATTGATCTGGTGCTCGCCCTGCCTTCTTACTCGTCCATGCAAATACCTAGATCGTGAACCAAGTCATTCATTCGGCAAGTAATTTTCGTCAGGCTATTTAACCTAATTACTAAAATATACTCTTAAATCGACTGTTTTGCGAAAATGTGGTTTATTTCTTTGACATTAATGACCAACGGTTGCTTTATTTCGGAATTATTTTATTTTTTGGGAAAACACGGCTTACCTTGGTAGTAAGGGGAACTAATTTTTGCTCTTAATATTCATTTCGGTGGGTATTTATTGTCATCGCCAACCGCGATGCGTTTATCTTTATCACGCTTCAGCATCTCAATTATTAGTTAACGTGAGCATCAGAAACTTTAGGAAAATATACATTTTGATATAGTTTGTGCAAATATTTTTGAGAAAATGATAGCACACTAAGCACGGTAAAGATATTCTTACCGGTTTATATCGAAACGCTCATGGGAACTAAATTAACATTCTTCTTTGTGCGTAGTTTTGATCTACTAAGAGTACTGTTCCATAAGATGTTAAGCCCATGGAAAGTCCCATATTTTAAAAATAAGCCGAGGACTCGTATATATCATGCAAAAGAGGCATGATGTGAAATAGCATTAAACAGATATTGCTCAAAAACTCACTTTTTGAATCTGTGTGCTCAGTCGTCACCCTCTGTACACTTTTCTCTGAACTGAACTCAGAGTTTACACATCCAAACAACTGTCAATCTTATCCCCATCAGCCCCCCTGTGTGAGCACCTGCAAGACGATTCGTCAGAAAATGTGTGACGCAGATAAAACCTGTTTTTTTTACTGCACGTGTTAGTTCGCACGCACTTCCGGGGGGGATAAACTTTAATATCTTCTTCTCCTTAACAGAGCCAAACTCCTTGTTTAGTATGCGCTTTTTCCACTGAAGCAAATATAAGAATATGCATTCGATTTCGTGTTCGTTCAGAAAACATATTTCCACTGCCCATAATACAGATGACGCCTTCACTTATTTCCAGGGAAGTTCGGTTAAATGTAGGTTTATTGCATGAGAATATTTGTACCTTTGGAAGTGCACCAAGCTGCTACCAGTTTTATGTTATGTGCTGTCGTGTTCCTATTCCTCTGTCTTTTGGGATAAACACATAAGGATGTGCTGCCCGAAGGAACACCCATCGTAGTTAGTCGTATCCTTGTTCTCTAAGAATAAAGCAATGGTGTATACAGTACGGCCTAGAATTCGTGTAACATGCCGACATATGCGAATGATTTATACTCTTTCGCGAATCGGCATTATGTAAGGTTTTAATACTGATTATTGTGTAGTCTCTTCCGAAGTCTTTCCAGTCACGATAGGATGTGAGCTTACCGCTTAAAAAATATACGTACAGTAAGACCTAAAATACGTGCAACATGCCTAAGTTTGTAGAAGTTTGTTCATTACTCGCGTACCGGCGTGAACGCATTTAGGAAAATTCAGAAATTTTAATGAACAACATCAGGCAAATTTATTACTTAAAAAAGTATCAGTAAAAAGTGTTTGTTAAGATAAATAAAATTTTCTCCATGTGAAAAATAGCTATAAATTAGAACACTCAATGTAACTCTTTCCTTAAGTTGAAAATATTACGTAACCACTTGCTTTACATAAAAAACTTTCCTTTAGCCAAAATGCTGTAGAAATATTACCATTAATGAATAATTATTTATTGAATATCGTCCTTTAAATTCTGGCATAATTTCGAGCATTTTAAATGTCTTCGTTTGTTCATCCATCACTTGAAATTCCGTTCGAGGGTTACATCAACACCTTTCAAATAAGATATACATCAAGAGCATTTACTGAAAAAATGGGTTTTTGGATATTAGTTCTTATGAAGGTGGCCATATGGATCATGCTTATAAACGCCTCAAAACATCGTCGAGCATAAAGGGCATGCGCAGCACAACTCATAGATTGATTAAAACACTTCTGTAATAGGTAAACTCTTTAAAATGTGCTTGAATTAGATATTCAGCTGACGAGTTTCCGTGTATATTACCTTTTTCCAAGATTATGTCAACATGAACTTAGTCTTTTGACAATTTTTTAATTCACCTGAAGCTAAACGATCCAATTTGGCTGGACATATAAGAACTTACTTTTCTCTTTATAATCCACCATTTTCCGCCATAGTGGATTATTTCCAGGGTCTGTTATAAGCTTGAGAACGCAAAAACGAGTGACCATAAAGATGGAAATTTTTTGAAATAATAATATGGCCACTTAGCTTATTCGCCATCTAGGCGATGTGGTAAAACAAAATGCGACCAAAAGTTTTGTTACTGCATTTTGTGGACAGAAACTTCGCAGATTAGCTAAACATAATTTTTAAAACATAAATCGTTCCTTCTTTGCGAACTTAGCCGCAGTTGACCTCCCTTGCATCTGAAAAATTTCGGACAGGATTTTACGGTTCTGGAAGTAATATGTTTTAAACTTTTTTTACTTGTTTTAGGATTGTTCTATAGAATAATGCATGTTTATAAAAAGTTTTTGTTCTGTCGTACCGAATAGCATAGGAAATTCCTTTGATATTAGACTCCTCCCAATTTCGCCAAAATTAATGCCCATTATTCCTAATCAACCTAACTAAGAGGGCAACTTTCGTAAAAGAAGGCTTTTTCAGGATTAAATCTGCTCAGTGAATCAAGATAACGTGACCAAATATGTTCTAAACTACCGAGTAAAATTTCATCATGAAATTTGCACTGTTTTGGGCCATACTGTTCTGGAAAAGTGGTTACTTAAGTAGTATGCATTTTCACCATTGATTTTGACTGCCTTTATATATTCAAATATATTTTATGGAAAATATAATTTAAAAAATATTCATTATACGCGTTTGGCTGGGAATTACGTCTTCTTTAAGTTTTATGCTTAAGGAAAGGCTCTGAACCTTGAACGAAGAGCCCAGTCGGCGGGATTCAATTCTATAGCCTAGTTAATATGGCCAGTTAAGTACCAACTTTCGAGCGCTAGTCTGGTCATTTTCTCATTGGCTCTGCCGATCACCCTCTCTTTCTCAAAAACGAAGTCGTAGTCCACCTGTTGCACGTGGCTAAGGACCTGTAATGCACAAACGGGCTAGCAAACAGTCTCGATTAGAAGTCCTTGTGGGAAACGGAAACATTATTGGGAAGAAATGGCCAATGTCAGTGCAGAGGAGCACCGGAAAAAAGCCAACAGCTCATGCTCGGTCCAAATCGGAAGTGCGGCTGGCCTTTAATCAGGGATCGTCCTTGATCCCTTCGTCGGGGAATGGCTCCTTGGTCTCTATAAGGGCAGTCAGATAAGGGAGGGTGAATGCAGGAAGGTGTTCATCCGATCTATCTGGTTAGGGTATATACTTGTCCCGGAAGTGCCTTGAGGCTCGTACGTGAGTGATATCAGGCTGTCGCTTAGCGACCTCAGATATATGATGGAGTGGATCCGACAAAGACAAGCGAGACCGAAATGGCCATTTCTGGCTTGTTAGCCGTCATCAGCCAGTCATATCCGATCTCAAGGTCCGATGTCCCAGTGTTACGCGGTTCAGAAGGTGATGCGTCGATTGGAATGCCATCGTCAGGAGGAATTTCCACGGTGCGGGACGCCGGAAGACGCCGGAGAATCAATTAACTGAGGAGAAGTAGGAGCCTCGGTGAGGAAATCGGACCGAGCGTGTATAGGTGAGGAACGAGGAGCAGAGGGATGGGAAGGGAACGGAGAGGGGTCACTGGAGGCGACTGAGGACTCTGAAGGGAAAAATACAGGTACGTCGATGCGAAAGAACCCGCCAGAAGTGTCCTCCGGAGCATATGGTTTAAGTTTGTTAAAGTGGGCAGCAAAGGTGGGGCTGTTGTGATCATCCAAGGTTCGAGGAATACAAAGCACCTCGATCCAATGGGACGCAAATTTATCAGTTGATCCGTTCGTTAGCCTATCCTGGTACCAGAAAACCCTGTCACCAGGTTGGTAAGGGGCACCGTACGCCCGACGATCGTAATAATCTTTCGGTCGCTGGTGAGCCGTGGAGAGACATGCGCGGGCGAGCTCGTGGCTGTTTACTCGGCGGGAAGGGACTGTACATAGGGGGAAAAGGTATTTGACCCGTGGATGGGTGAGTAGCAGACCGGTGGTAAGGCAACCTCCCAAGAAGATACATGGGAACTGTTCACGAACGGCCGTATTAAAGATTTCAGTGTTCGCTTCGTGCGTTCGACCTGCCTTGAAGGTGTCATGAGGTAGACCGAGACTTCCGAATGCAAAGGAGCTCGCTCATTTCTTTCATCAGCCGACAATAAAATTGAGCACTCTGATCTGACTGGAGCTGTTTGGGAACGCCAGCTCGGCGGATCCACTCGTAAAGAATGGTTCTCGCAACCGTGACAGCATCATTCAGATCGGGATGCTCAGACAGCTTAGGGTTGATTGTCAGTTGGTGTTCGTGCAATCTTGTGCCCAAGTGTTTGCCCGTTTCACCAACATACCTCGTATCGAACTTTTTGCATGGTATGCAGTAGACCACTGCTGATTGTTCGGTTACTGGCAGTGGGTCTTTGGGCTTCATGATTTGCTGCCTGATGATTGATTCTGGTCTATACTTCACGCCGATGCCAAAAGCTTTTATGACTCGTTCTGTCGTCTCTGAAGAGCTTTTCACGCAGGGGATTTCGGGCCAGAACTTTGGCTTCTCTTCACTGAGACATCTGCGGATGAAGGACTTTGGATAACCGCTGGCTTTGAAAAGGACATGCAAGTAATTCATATCCTCCCGTTTCCCATTGTTGTCACTGCAGTGCGTTTGAATGCACCGGAGGAAGGTGCTGACATAACTGCGTTTCTGAACAACAGAGTGGTTGCTTCGGAATTGGAGCATGCGCCTGGTGTTAGTTACCTCACAGTAGACCGTTGTCCTGA